TTACATAAACACATATATGCATTTTGTTAAAATTATCAAATTAATTAAGCCCAAAACGATAGCTCAAATATATGCCCATAAAGAACAATAAATTGAAGTACTAGTTGATTAATTTAGGAACCAAATCTCTAAATTGGGCCTGAAATTTTTAAAATAATCAGTATATATATATACTTATAAATAGAACTATAAAATATGTATAAAATACAAAAATACTTACAATATATTAAAGTAAAAACCTATTAAAAATCAATATACATATAAAGAAAATACTATAAAATCAAAACCTATTAAAAATCAATGTACTTACAATATATTAGTAATTAAAACGTATTTTCTTTGCTAATTTTATTTATTAATAATATTATTTATTCAGTAAAAAATATACTAACAATTTTTATATTTTAAATTTTTAGATAGGCTTTTGAAAATATTTATAATGATGTACTCTTTCAGTCTCTTAATTGTAAATCGTTTTAGTGTTTTATAAAACTGAGTATTTATTAGTTGGATTGTTGCATTGTTTAATGTTGACTTTTTACTCTTTTTTTCGTGTGTAATCACATATTTTTAACTTTATTTATTTTTTCTTAAAAAAATGTTCATTTGATAAGCTTTCATAACAAAAATGCTACGCAATGTTGTGCAAAAGTTTAATTTAAATCAAGTTTTCAAACAAAAAACTTATTTTTTCCGAAATTATAGATGTTGAACTTAAATTATAAATACATGAAATCTCTCTTTTAAAAAAAATAAAAAAAATTGCTGGTAAATACAATTTTATATGAAATGAGTGTTTCAACTTAAACTACAAACTCGTTCTTTAACATTTAAAACCGGACCCCCTCAGCAAAATTTATGGATCCGTCACTGGGACTAATCATCTTATTAGGTCTAAGACTGAACCGGATCATATTTCATATTTTAGAAGATAGTTTTATTTTTTGTTGAATGCATTATACTTGTACAAATATGATGTCATCATACACATTGTCATGTATCAAATAGAAACAAATAATGAATACACAATTCAAATAGAAAAACTTACTCATTAGATGTACCGTTACCAAGTAAATTTTTATAATAGACAAAAAGAATGAACCATACTTGATATTGATTGCCATCATATTGCAATATTTATCCAACATAATATTAGAAAAATGAAATAGCAAATTAGTTTATGTACTTGAAGCATATCCATTCAACAAATTCAATATAAGTCCAACAATCATAGCATCATCCATTTACTGAAAATATGAAAATATATTGACTTGGTAGTCAAAATTCAATAAAACAGTCCCAATATAGTGGCACGAAATTCGAACAAAGTTGACTCGAATAAGTCCATGCGTATCCATACATAAACTGATCCAAATCCATATAGTCTCAACCACAAACCATATACCATTTAATCACATACGGACATGACATGCAGCTGCATGCATGTCTAGTTTCTTCTATCTCTAGCATTATATTTTCATAAAACTTTTATCACTTTTTCTTTTCGGTAGGATATCGTTTTGTCATATTTTTATTTAATAATAATATATAATTATACTACAAATTATTATGCTTTTTTTGATAAAAATATATAATTATACTACAAATTATTATATTATGCTTTTGTTTATATTATTTTTATATGTTTAAAAATTATATATATATATATTTAAAAAGATATATAATTCAACAACGGACAATGAATTTTTATATTTCCTATGTCATACTAGTTTGAAAATTTATCATTTAATTCCGGGTGGTCACGTGAGCCAAGCCGAAATATTTGAAAGATAATTTGGTTGCAAATAAATGCGAGAGCTATATAAATAGAGCTTTAGCTAGTAACATTTTATCCACCTTCAAATTTTCCTTAATTTAGCCTGATAAAAATGAAGCCTAGTGCTTATGTTCTTCTTGGCGCCTTTTTGGCCCTTCTCATCATCTCCTGTGTTGGTGCTGATGAGAAAAATACTCAAACTGAGACCAAAAGTAAGCATAAATTTTTCTCGAATTTATTTCCGTTAGTCTCATTTTCATGAACTTGGCTATTATATGTCCTATAATTAGATAAATAAAATGAGTCAATTTGTGAACTCAGTTTGATTCACAAACTCGTTTAGTCAGTTCGAATCGAAAGGGTTGTTAAGGCTTGAAAAAAATATGATCTTTTGCGTAGTGTTTTGAGCTTCTGAGTTTGTTTATCTAGGCTTAATTTATAGTTTATAAATCGACAAAAATGATTTATTTGTACGGCGCGTCGAGTTTGTCTATTTTGGCTTAAATTTATAGTTTATAAATTGACAAAAATAAAATACAATTATTTATTTTGTCTGGCGCGGTGATGCAGCCGATGACTCTAATAATGAAGTAGCCGATCAGATGCAATATGGCGGTGGAGGCT